TCCGGGGTGTCCCAGAGGGCAGGGCCGAGGTGGCCCTGAGGGCGTGGAGGTCCGGGGTGTCCAGGGGGCAGGGCCGGCGTGGGGCGGGGTCCGGCGGGAAAGGACAGTACTTCCCGGTGTGTGGAGGGGGGTGGTGACAAGGATCTGGAAGGTGACCCGAACACTCGGAGTGTCTTAAACATCCCCCTTATGTTAATCATGACAATCAGCACTCTCGTCAGAATCAGAAATAGGGTACCGTACCCATTCTGAAGTTAATAAAAACCTCTTGTCGATCAAAAAAGGCTTTTAAAAAAGTGCAACTGTAGAGAACCTCCATGAGCTTAATTTTTAAAAAGATACACTTTTGCCTTTTATTGCATTCTGCCCCCTTTCTGACCCCATTCTTTCGTCTACACAAGGTGTCCAGTTAATTTATTTAATTAAATGGAGCGACAGTTATTGGGAGTTGAGCAAAATGTAGAGGATCAAGGAAGAATAGAGGTGTACGCTCTGGTATCTAAGGCATCATTTACTTAGGAATTCTGTATTGAGTATTTGTTGGATGGTTGGCAAGGTGCTTGGACCTCAAATGCAAATATAAATGGATTAGGTAAAGAGGCATCCCCTATGGCCTCACAGTTGGGTCAAGAGCAATGGTTAGAGCACTATAACTTCTAATATTCTTAACAATTTTTTTTTTTTCCAGCCAGGATCTGGTGATTTTGAAGAGGAGCCCGAACAGCCAAGATGAAAACGCCTGCTTCCTTTACCTGAACTTTGACCCTACTGGAGGTGAAGAAATCGCTTCTATTGGCATTTTAAGTTCAGCAAGAAATATGGAGGTGTACTTAAGAGAGGAGTACTGTGGGACCAGTAGGGGCAAGAATGTTTGTACTCTTCTGGATAACAGGTTTGTGACTTAGACATGCAGAAGTAGATTTTGCAGTATTTCTTGATTCTCTGGCATTGGGGGCAGACTTTAGGGAAGAGAAGAAAAAAATATACCAGTAGGCATAGAACTTTGAGAGGTTTAAGTGATCTTAATGAGACTCTAGATGATTTTATTTTTATCGGTGTGGAAATTTAGAGATAATAGACCGGAGGTCACTTGGTGGATGGTCATAGCTAGTTACTGGAAGATTCTGGACTAGAATGAAGTCTTGATAATTTTTTCTTGTTTCTCTTCTATAGCTCACAGAGGTCTGTTTTCCAGAAATGAATCGGTCAGACAGTCTGGAACTTTGAACATATTTTCTTTTAGGAAGCCCATTATACAGTGAAACCTGTGAGAGCTGGAACTCAACGGGACTGCCTTGTTTTTCCAGGTCTCGAAAGTTTTCTGCTTTTGACAGGGTGCAGTCTTCCCACTTTTTTATTGCTCATTTTAGTGGAAAATATTTGAGTTTTCCTTCTCTGACAGGTTTTCACCCTACACAGGTTCTGGCTTTTGCAGGTTTTACTGTAAATGTCACATGAATCTGAAACTGTGCCACACCAGCCTGTTTAACCTGTTACTCAGCTTATTGTAGTTTAGGATTTTTTTCTGGTCTCCTACAAAGATTCTGTCCTTTCTTTTTTTAATATAACTCAAAATATGAACTGTTTTATATACTATGCATATTGGAAATAATAGCTATACTTATTGAACTTTAATATATGGTCTGTGCTACACGATTGTACATACGCTATCTAATTATGCCACATTGTAAGTGGCAGACACAGTGTTTATCCCCAGTTCAGTTGAGTAGGGAACCCCAGTTCTTTACCAGGTAAACTGAATCTCAGAATTTAAGTGCTGGCCTAGAAACAGTTTTTTTTTAATGTAACTATTAAAAGTGATAATGTATGAAAGTAAGAAGAAATGCATACTTTTCTGTTTTTAGCAAATATGAGAAGATTATTTTGTTCAAGAAATATTTAAAGTTGGAGTCTTCCACACATGCTTGTAAAATAAAGGTAAGTCATCACTAAATTTTAGCTAATTTGACAATTGTGTTTGTTTTTGTAATATATAGACTTATTTTCTGTTGGTTTGCTAATGCATTTTGTCCAACTTGAACCCTAATTTTAGTTCAGAAATACTTAGTAAACATGTTTATAAGAATGACTTTTCTAAAAAATCATTCTTTTTAAGGTTGAATTCTTCATTTACAATCTGACCATTTATTAGCTATGGAAATGTAATGGCATGTGCTGTTGTTAATACAGTAGTGCTGTGTTTTGAAGCCTTGGGAAACTGAGCTAAACATTATTGCACCTTTATATAAAACTGTGCTGCCAAGAAAAGCACAAGTATTTTTAGCCCCATTATGTCAAGAAATATGGAACAGAATTAGAGAAGTTACAATGAGGAGTACCCAAAAGTGAAAGGACTGGTGTCTTGAGCATGAAAAATATTGTTGAGGCGAACTTTAGTGATGTCAATGGAGTCTAGGGAAAAGGTACTGAGCTACAAATCAAAGCCCTGAGTATTAATTCAGCTCTGTTGCTGACTGGCTGAGTGGCCTTGGGCAAGTCTTTTTACCACTTTGGTCTTGCCTCATGGGTGGAATTAGGAGGATGAAGAAAATAAATCCTTGGATTTTTTTTTTCTCTCTAAAATTGTACACCTACTATTGATTTCATAGTCGATTATGAGACTTCATTTTTAAAATAGGAAAAAAAGAAATGATTTTTATAGCAAGCAGATAGCAAACTTACAGAACTGATTATTCCAAGACATTATTTTAGGTAATATATAGTAATAGCGGAGCTCTGGTGGCGCAGTGGTTAACAGCTTGACTGCTAACCAAAAGGTTGGCAGTTCAAATCCACCAGCCGCTCCTTAGAAACCCTATGGGGCAGTTCTGCTCTGTCCTGTAGGGTCCCCATGAGTTGGAATCGACTCGACAGCAACAAGTAATAGTAATACTTCTGAAGTGGTTTAAATAAATTGATTGATTCAGTAAATTTTTAAGTGCCAACTGTATGCCAGACACTGTACCAGGCACTTAGGAATCACTATTGAAAAATAACTTAGAATGCCTGCCCTCACATTGTTTATAATCTAGTGGGGGGTGGAGGGAGAGACAGCTAGTAAGTAGATTAAATGACTAAAACAGGTAGAATATTTGATGGTGAGACAGGCTATGGGGATTAAAAAGCAGAGGGGGATATGAGGGAGGTCTGGGCAGTGAGGGTATAAATTTAGTGAGGTGTTTTCTTGACTGTTGAGGACAGTCACATTCTTTGTGCCATCCAGAGTTTTTTGATCATGAGTCTAGTTTGCACTCTGTCTTCCTCTGACATGAGGATCTGTGCGTGTCTCTGAAGGTGAATGTTTTATAACTGTTCTTTGAAGTACATAGGAGTTCAAAGGGTCGTTTCATTTAGGGAAATCCTAGGGTTTGTGTGAAATCTTGTTCTGGGACAATAGTATATGAAAGCTAAAACAATAATAATAGTTACTGATGCATGTTTTTGAGCACTTACTCAGTGGTAGGTACTGGAAGTGTTAACACTTAATCCTCACCACTAGCACGTGGAATCATTGTTATCCTCCCACATTTTACTCTTGACTCAGGTTTTGGTATTTGCCCAGGGTCACACAGGCTGTAAGTAGCAGAGCCATATTTTGAACCCAGGTGTGTCTGATTCTAAAGCCTGTTCCCTTTCCACTTTGCTACTCTGCTGTCCATACCACACATGAAATGTCTTTTGGTTCAGAAGCGTGGATGAAATGAGGCAGCATTAAGTCCCAGAAAGACTGCTAGGCGAGAAGCCAGAAGAGCTAGGCTCCAGGCCTGGTTGTACCAATTGGGTAATCCTTTGACAGGTGAGAAAACCACCCCAACATCATCTTTTTTATGTGTAAGTCAGCCATTTATGTTAGATCATCTTAGCAATCTCTTTATAATTCTAAATATTAAAAGACTGACTTATATTTAGTATTTTAGTAAATGCTTTGGATGGACTTCTGGATAGCCTTTGTCATGTTTGGGAAGTCTGGATGGTACAGAGGGTCCCAAGGGGTGACGCAGTCCTCAGGGTTTGGGAACACCAGAAATGAGTCTAGAGGCGTAGTTGTTGATGCTGGAGCAGCGTATTAAGCAGTGCTCTTACAAGACAACGCAGCAGTGGTACTGATGGCAGAGCACCCTGCAGGGGGTCACACAACCGGCTGGCTGGGTGGTTGTCCTTCCGAGGATGGTTCTTAACTAGGTGGTCTCTGGGGCTACGTTTTATGCCCCGGTGGAGCCCAGGTTAGTTTTAACTATTCAGCTATTAGTTTGAGCCAGTCTTGTAAGGGTAAGCATTGTTTTAATCCTCTATGAAAGTTACATCTGCTGTGCCACTGGAAAGTTCTCTTGCTGTTACCGGGGGGGTCTGTTCTTAAATTTCCTCTTCTGGAAAGTCCCTTTACCTGTCACCAGAGCACCCTGTTCTTTTCTGAGCAGCTTGCAGTTTTGATGTTCGACCTGTCTTGTGTATCCTAGGAACCCATATTGAAGTGACCTTGCGAAGTGCTTAGTGGCCGCATAGCTGCCCCTTGTTAGCAGCCATTTTGTGGCCTTAAGGATACTCCAGCCTTATTTTGTATTAAATGATATTATGGCAAGTTGCAGTGTGTTAAGGTCTCATATTGGTATAGTTTATTTTTAATTTCTTAAATAAGTAATTAAAACTTTATTTTATCCCCATTTTGTATCTTACCTGTAATCTTTTGGTTTGAAAGAACTTTTTACATTTAAGTAGTTCTTCTGAGCCTCATAATAAATTGGAAATTTTTCTATGACTATTTTAGAGAACACTTAAAAATATACTTGAGGTTAGTTTTTGGATTCTTGAATACTTCACTCTCCTTAAGTAATACCAAGAAGTGATCTTAAATGATGATTGTTTTAATATTATTATTTTCTGGAACATTTTTTGTTTTATACTAGTTACTCTCCTTTGGTGAAAAGCAATGTATATTCATCAGTAAAGTTGTGGTACACATGAGAGCAGTTTCGGCAAATTCTTCACCAAGCTCTTCTGCTCTAGGATCAAGGATAGATCTATACAGGGTTCAAACCATAATGGAGTCCACGGGGTCACAGTTGTTACCTGGAGCGCAACAGTTGATGGATATGGTTAGGTTTCAGCAGAGGGTAAGTAGAAATGGATTTCTTACTAAATATCATTACAAAATATCAAAACAGATTGCTTTTAATAAGAATGTTCAGTGAAACACGATGTTGCCATGAGTTGGAATTCACTCAACGGTAACTGGTTTCTGGTTGGTAGTGACTTAGAATTTTTTCTTTGAATTTTTTTATTGATTTAATTATTATCTTTATTTAGCTTTGTAAACATAACAGTATATAGATCCACTCACTTACAAAGTGTTCTGACTATAGATTTTCACAATTTTCCATGAATTCATTCACTCATTCGTTCAGCAAGTATTTAGTAAATACCTTCAAAATGAGCAATGAACTGATTCAAGCATGTTTGAGGGTACAGAGATGATCAGTTCGTCTATAACATGTCTTTAAGGATCTTTACGATCTCATTAGGTGAGTTAGCATATGTAAATGAAGGATGAGTGATTAGGAAAGGCTTCCTGAAGGAAATGACATTTTATCTGGGCCTTTGAAGAAGAGGGGCAGGATTTGGCAAGTAAATTTGGAGGGAGGCAATTCCAGACAAAGATTAGTATGGATAAATTGTTCAAAAGTAGAAGGAATAGGCTGTAACTAGGGGAAGAAGTTCATTTTCCCGGGAACAAAGGCAAAGTCTAAGGGTATATTGGGACTAGATCATAGAGAGCTTTGCATGATCTTTTAAAAGTTTGTAGATATTTTTGAGCTATGTTTAAGAAATTTTTATCCACTGTTATGCATAAGGTGAATCAGAAGAAAAAATGAATCAGAAGAAAGTGAGACTGTGAGAAAGAGACCCAGCTACACGGTTATTTCCTTAACCCAGATAAGAGATAATGAGGGTCTGAACTTGGAAATAGTAACATGATGCTGGATTGTGAGATGCTTAAACAGTGAGCTTGTCAACCAACTGAATATTGACACTGCAGGAAAAATAGGAGTCAAGCATGAAATTGAGGTTTTGAGGATGGTGAGGCCAATAATAGAAGCGGAAACCTAGGGAGGAGGACATCTGGGACACATTAAGAGGAGTTTAATTTGGGGCATATTGAGTTTGGATGTGAAGGGAACATTCCCTGGAAAGATCTTATAAGCATCTGGAAACACGGGACTGGGCGAGGTTGAGTGAGTCTCCAGGTTTGCTGGGAGGGAATTTTGAGAGCTGTATCCATATTAGATAACAGGGAAAGTGTGAGGGGAGAGACTGAAGCAAGGAAGCGAGATCCTTGGACAATAGCTGCATTTGGTCAGGATACAGCGAGAGGGAAAAGGAAGAAAACATAGAACAGAGCTAAAATTCTTAAAAAGTCCAGACACTGGACTGGTTAAGACTAGAGGACTGCCCGAGACTATCGCCTTGAGATAAGCTTTAAACCTTAAACCGAAATTGTCCCTTGTGGTCATCTTTTGGCTAAATAACAGATTGGCTCGTAAAATAAAGCATGAGTAATGAACTCCTTTTAAAACTCATCTATATGAGACCAAATGGTCGAAAATAAAGCAAAGATGAGAAGATGAGGCAGGGAGACTAGAGTACTGGAAATGGAACAACCAGAATGGAATGAATGAGAATGATGACACATGGTGAGAAATGTGACCAACATCACTGAATGATTTGTATAGAAATTGTTAAATGGGAATCTAATTTGCTCTGTAAACTTTCACCTTAAACACAAAAAATATTATTTTTTAAAAAAAAAAGAGTAGAAGACAGGAGTGTGGTAGAATAGCACGAGAAGAGATTTGATGTTGGGAGAACTGAATTCAAGTTCTAGTCCTGAAATGATGAATTCTGTGTTCTTTGGCAAGCTGATTCATCTTTGTGAGGATGGATTTCCTCATATATAAAATCTAAATGATAATACTGCTAAGATCACAGGATTAATGTGAGTTTAAAAGAAACAGTCCAAACATGGTGAATGTAATTAATGTCACAGAATTGTAAACTTAAAAATGGTTAAAATGGCAAATGTTTTGTTATGTATATCTCACCACAATAAAATTAAATTTAAAAAAAAACAGTACAAATAAAGCACTCCATGTAACTTTTTTGAGGTTTACAAATATTAATTTAATACTATTAATTATTGAAGCAGTGAGCAGAGTTAGGAGAACCAGGGCAGTTGATTATCATGGACACTGTGGAAGGGAGAGTTTCAGAAAATGCAGAGATCTGTGCTTTTCTTTCTCCCCCATCATTGTCTCACCTCACTCCCTCAGGAGGGTCCTAACTGGTCTTCTTACTCCAGGACAATTCATTTCCACAGTGCAATGGGAATGATCTCAAAGGGTAATTCAGACCAACTCCTTCCCCTGTGTAAAGCCCCCTGACTGCTTCCCATCACACTTAGAATCAGTGCAGATTTTCCATCCTGTCCTCTGTGATCTGAGCCCAGCTCACTTCCTCAGCCTCATCTGCCACATCTCCTTGGTCACCTTGCTTCAGACATTCTGATGTGTGTATTCTTCAAATATCCAAATTTGTTCCTATCCCAGGACCTTTGCACTCTTTTTTGTACATCTTAGCATGGCTGGCTGTTTTTATTCACATCTCAGCTTCAATGAGACCTCACCCAACCACCCCATTTACAGTAGCCTTTCCCTCCAAACCTGTATCACAGTTTCATCAGAGACCTTTTGACCACTTTTTTTTTTTTTTTAAATCTTTCACGAGCAGCAGTAAGTGTGGGATGATGTCTCCTCCTAAGAATCGATAGTAGAATTCTGTTTTGAATATAGGATATTGCCATGTAAATTAACAGTTAGCTATTCTAGAGATAAGAGCCTTGGTGGTGCAGTGGTTAAGCACTCCGCTGCTAACCGAGCGGTCAGTAGTTTAAACCCACCAGCGGTCCCTTGGGAGAAGAGACCTGGTGATCTGCTCCAGTAAAGATTACAGCCTAGGAAACCATATGGGGCAGTTCTGCTCTGTCTTAATAGGTTGATGTGAGTTGGAATCAACTCAACAGCACACAACAACACGCTGGAGATAGTTTTGCTTTTCTCTTCTTAAAAATTTAAAAGGCATAACAAGGACATGCCCTTCTCTCACATGTGAACCAGAATTTTCGTTTGAAATAATATTGCGCAGTCAGTTAAGCTGAGGCCACAAAACATTAACTCTGTTGTCCTACAAATTCTAAAAGCAGACACAGCCAAGAGGGAGCTCATTTTAAATGTCACAAATGTATCCCTAGAACATCTTAACTTTGAGGAGTACAACTTTCTGGTGTAGCCTCCATGAAAAACTAGATGCCAAAGATATGCCAGGGTAAAAATGAGTGATTTACCATATATTGAGAGTCGGGGCAGGATCTAATTTAATTGTAAGAAAATTACCCTTGATTGTGACTCTTGTGAGAATACTAAATTTTATTACCACAAATTCCACAGCCATTTTTAGTGGAAATCCTAAAGTCTGCCGATGCCATTTTAGTCAGCATGTTAGTATTTTAATTTCTTCGTTAGGAACGACTACAGTAAAATGATTAAAAGTTCTGCCTCTGGAGATGTGGCCTGGGTTCAAGTCACACTTTTGCCGCTTACTAGCTGTGTTACCCTGACCAGGTCACTTTAGGCTTGATCTCCTCAACTGGGATAGTAGCCTACCTCATAAGGGTGTTATAAGGATCAAATGAGAGAATTCACAGTGCCTGACTCATAGTAATCACCCCAGAAGTCAGCTATCATTATTAATTGTTACTTTATGAATAGTAACATTTCCTTATTTTCGCTGTTTAGAATTGTGTTCCCTTTGGAGAGCAGCTTCAGTCTGTTTCGGGAAATACTGGATACAAGCATATGATTGGATTACAATTGTCATCTACTTCAGGAGCCTTAGACAAGTCATCCTCCATGCCTTTTCCTTTTAGAACCGGATTGACATCTGGAAAAGTGACTGAAGACTTAAAAGCTTGCATTGATAAAAATTTACAGCCATGTGGTGAAGGAAATACTTCAAACCTCAACACCTGTGCAAGTGTGCCGCAAAGCCATACTGTGCTTGAAGATGATCTTAAAAATTTAGAATCTTCTTTCTTACCAAAGAAAGCAAGTGACACCTCAAATATACCTAACTCTGAGTTGCTTCCTTTTCTTCAGAATTTATGTGGTCAGGTGAACCATCTCCGTGTGAGAAATAACAGAGAGTGGCAGGAAAAGGTTGCCAAGCCTGGTGAAGGCATTGTTGGTGTTGTGTAAGTATTTAAGACAAATGTGGTTTAGATTTGATAGGTGGGAGAATTGGCTTAAGGGAAAGAGATTTGTCTTAATGTGTACTGCCCAAAAATCTGCTTCCAGAAATACTTTTAGGAGCTTTTACATTTTATCATTAACGTGCTTATTGGGAATAAATATTCTTCTGAGAAAAATGGATTGCTTTGAAGGGAAGTAAGTGCCCATAACTGGAGGTATTGAGCACTTCTCAGGAATATTTTGGAAGGGGTACAAGTGTCAGATGAGTGTGTGAGTAGAAGATTACCTGCATGTATGGAGTGGATTATGGAGCCATAATCTCTGTGTATTGTTTTTATTTATGTTTGTACTGTATTTTGGCTTTGGGGGTTAAGCAGATTTTTATAACAAATTCTTTGTGGATCATGTTTGGCCTAGGCTAATTTTGGTATCAACAAGGTATAAAGATTATGAATTATGTGGAGAGTATAGGCCCTTATCATTTGATCTCATGGTCTCATATTTTGGCAGTACAAGTTTGATTAGGAATGGGTATTTAGTATGTTCCCTCTCCTTTACATAGATATAATGTGTTGAAATAGTGCTCTTAACTAGAATTCAGGACTCTAGTCATAGTCCTGGCTTAAGCAGTTTGCCACACTGTTTAACCTCTCTTGGCTTAGAATTTTCCTCTGAATATAAGTTAGTTGTATTAATTTGGAACTAAGTAACACCATCCACCAACAGTATCTAATTGATATTAATAGAAGACTCTAGCAGTAGCAAAATACACATTTTTTAAGCGCCCATGAAAGATTCACAAAGATAAATTTATATCTTCAGTGATAAAGCAAAGCTGACCAAGTTTAAAAGTATTGGAATTATACAAAATATGTTCTCTGACCATAAATGAGTCCAGCTAGAAATTAATAATGGAAAGACAAGAAGAATCTCCAAAACATTTTGAAATGGCACAACACACTTTTACATAATCTATGGTTCATGACAGGAGGCATTGGTGATTCAGTGGTAGAAGTCTCACCTTGCATGCAAGAAACCCGGGTTCAATTCCTGACCAGTGCATCTCATGTGCAGCCACCACCTGTATGCCAGTGGAGGCTTGTATGTCGTTATGCTGAACAGGTTTCAGTGGAGCTTCCAGAGTAATACAGACTAGGAAGAAAGGCCTGGGGAATCTACTTCTCTGAAAATAATCTAATGAAAACCCTAAGGATCACAAAAAATCGATCTGCAATTGATCACGGGGGTGGTGCAGGACTGGGCAGCATTACATTCTGTTGTGCACGAGGTCACCATGAGTCGGGGGCCAGCTTGATGGCAGCTAACAACACCAACATGGTTCAAGGAGGAAGTTTCAATGGAAAAAAAAAAGTGACGTGAAAATGAATGAAAATACAAAGTATCAAAATCTGTAGGATCCAGCTAAGGAATACTGAGGAGTATAGATACAGCAGTAAATGCTTACATTAGAAAAGAGGAAAGGTCACAAATCAATAATCTAAAATCCTACTTCAAGAAACTAGGAAAAGCAGAGCAAAATAAACCAAAAACAAGCAGAAAGAAGGAAATGATAAGAGCAGAAAATAATGAAATTGAAAACAGGAAAATAAAATGAGTGAAGGAAAAAACTGGTTCTTGGAAAATTTTAATAAAATTAGTATATCTTTAGCAAGACTAACAGACAAAAAGAAGATGCAAATAACCAATATCAGAAATGTAACAGGATATCACTACAGATCCAAAAGCCATTAAAAAGTTAATAAGGGATTCTTTAAAATAACACAAACTACCAAACTCAGTCAAGATGAAGTAAATAATCTGGATAGTCCTATAACCATTAAAAATGCTGAATTTGTAGTGGGAAGGCTTATGAAAAAGAAATATTCAGCCCCAATGTTTTCACTATAAAATTCTACCAAACATTTAATGAAGAATTAACACCAGTTTTACTCCAAAAATAGAAGAAGAGGGAAGACTTCCCAATTCATTTAATGAGGTCTGTATTACCCTGATAACAAAACTAGATTGTTCTAAAAAAAATTAAATACTTAGGTGTAAATTTAGCAAAACACGTAGAGGGTCTGTATACTGAAAATTATAAAATGCTGGTGAAAGAAATCAAAGAAGACCTAAATAAATGGAGAGACATACCATGTTTATGGATTGGAAGACTCAACATAGTAAAAATGTCAGTTCTCCCTAAATTTGTGTACAGGTTTAACACAATTCCTATCAAAATTTCAGCAAGATTTCTTGTAAATATGTATAAGATTATTTTAAGATTTATATGGAAAGGTAAAGGAAGTAGAATAAAAGTTTTGAAAAAGGAAAACCACTACTTGATTTTAAGATGTATTATATAGTTACAGTATTCAAGACTGTGTGGTATTGGAAGACAGACATGTAAATCAATAGAATAGAATGGAGAACACAGAAATAGCCCTGTACAAGTATAGCAAACTGATTTTTCACATAGGTGCAAAAGCAGTTCAGTGGAGGAAGGGTAATTCTTAACAAATGGTGCTGGAGTAATTGGATATCCATAGGCAAAAAATGAACCTTGACCTAACCTTAATACCTTATATACAGAAATTTAACTCAAAATGGATTATGGACTTACAAGTAAAACATCAAACCATAAAACTTTTAGAAAAAAATACAGGAGAAAATCTTGGGGACCTAGGACTAGAAAAAGAGTTCTTAATATTTGGCACAAAAAAGCAAAAACAAATTATTAAGTGTTTTCATATTTGACAGGTTAGAAAAGAACTTCCCAGTAGTTTAGTAAGGTTGTTTGGAAGAAAAAAGACAAAACTTTAAATTCAGGGTTGCTTAGAGAAGTACTTGGAAGATATACAAGGAGACCTTAAATTCGGCAAGATCAGTTTTGCTTTGGAGCTCAAAATTATTAAGGTCCCTAGAAACTACTTTGAGGATAGAGATTCTACCATCTTCATTTGTATTCCTGTTTCAATTGTATACTTAATAAATGTTTATGGAATTAAATAAGAACGTGTTTAGACAATCAGGATTGCAGTTTTGTGTGCATATTAGAATCTGAAAATACATTGTAAAGAAATAGTACAGTTGTAGGGAAAAGTAACAGCAATGTGTGTTGGCTACTGTTGAGTAGTTTTTTGTTTTTTAGAATATTAGAGATAATTGTTGTTTTATTTATTTTTAGAGTGGAAGAGCAACCTGTTTGCTCCTGCTTGGAAAAGCTTCTTTCTAAAAATGTGGAACTGATGGAAAAGAACTTTATGGACTACATTGATCAACGAATATGTAAACTCCAGGAGCACATAGATAATAAGATTGTTTTGTTAATGGACTTGCTGCAAAATTCCAACTCCTCTTCCCCTGGGATGCCTCTAAGACATTTTGTCTCTGGAGAAAGACTTTCAACTGGCGACCGATAATCACTGAACATATACAATATACTACAGATATTTATTACATATTTATTATAAAGCCAAAACCCAAAAAACTTTATGGAAAGCAAGTATTTAACGCCATTTGAAGGATCATCATCTTACGTAAAGTTACCTCAGTGTTCATTTTTACTGCTCTTGTTATTGTAAATCTAGTATTGTTACACTGAGTCAACATGATCGAGTCGTAAGTTATTTTTGCTAGCAATATTTTTCGTTCTTACAGAAATTTATATATACTTGTCTGTTAAGTGTTTATAAGGATTTCTAATGAAGTTCATTAGTTTGTATTGTATATGTGTGTGGTTGAAGTATTTTTATTTATACAAAGATCTTATTTTACAGTTGTAGGATATGAAAAATAATGCTTAGAGTATTTGATATTTTTGCTTTTTATAGTTGGTTGCTCTTAGGAAATTGGAGACTTAAGACTTGGAACCTTTAATTCAGATCACCAACTTACGTTCTGTCTTGTTGATCTCAGATAAATAATTAGATGCGATGTTTGGCATGTGTAAAGCTAGTTCACACTGGTGCTGTTAAGATAATTTGTTACGTCACATTGTAGCAGTAGTTGGAGAAGTGAAAATCAGAGCTGGCCTCTTCCTTGTTAGGATTATTACTTTGGATTTGGTGTTTGATGTAAAATAGCAAAGAGAGTCTTGGTTATCTCAGTAAGCTCAGAAAATACAAGGAAGTCTCTCCTTTTTTTGTGCTGGGACAGGTTGTTCTTTCCAAAGCTCTTTTCTGATATTTTTATCGTGCAAAATGTTGAGGCTCTGCACTGAAATTAAAGCGTATAATCAAGGAAATCACTGTTCTCCCTGGCCGCTTAATTTTCAGAAATTATAACTATTGTATATATTTTAAAAGGTGATCTGTTTGTACCTGAAAAATAAATGCATTCACTCTGGAAACTACTTAAGTATATAGAAAGGTTTCCTTTTCAACTACTCTTTGCTTAAAATGTTTTATTTTTTTATAAAAGGGATTATTTTATACTCATTTAATGTTTTGGTGAATGTTCTTTAAATCAAGTGTTGATTTGTATAGTATTTGTTCATTTTTATCACACTACAAAGTTGACACAGTATATGGAACACATTGTGATGACAGTCACTTACAGATTTGTATGTCACTTTTTCTGATTTATTGAGGCATTTACAGCATACATAGCTATATGATAGCATTTGTTTTGGCACGCAGGAGCATTGTGTCTCCCTTGAAGCTGAACCCTCTGGGTAATGGTTTTGCAGCTTCTGGTAGTTGCTGTCTGATCTTTGATTTACATAATGCCTCACTATGATGGTAGCCACAATCACTATATTCAGAGTAAGGACCATGAATGAAAATAGTTGTAGGCTGTTGAAAGGCTAATAATGAATTTCTTCTGCACGTAGCTGATGCTGAAATATTGGAATTGGGAAAGAAGGTCACATCATTTTAAAAAGTAATATTTGGCAGTGTAAAATTTGATAAACTTATGATTTCCCCACACATTCTATGAGTTTTATGTATTTGTTAATATTTAGAACAATGCCAACACAACATAGGGGAACTGTTACCAAATATTTGAATTAGCTTAGTGTTTGTTTAAAATTCAGAGACAAAATATCCTTAAATGTATTTCTCTTTCAAATGGCTGACATTGTTATGTTCCCCAATGCGAGGATAAAAACTTGTGAAATTCAAGCATCTCAGTCAAGAAGCTATGCAGGGTCACTTATCAGTGGTTATCATTTTCCATCCACCACTCCTCTGTCCGTTTGTCATACTGTGGTGGCTTGCTCTTGCAATCTATCCTGAAGTACATCTTCAGTCTATCCTGAAGTACAGTGCTAACAGTGGTAGGATAATATCCGTACCCTCACAAGGAAAACTAGTTAATACGACCATTATTCGAATTTATGCACCAACCGCTAAGGCCAAAGATGAAGAAATTCAAGATTTTTACCAACTTCTGCAGTCTGAAATTGATCAAACATGCAATCAAGATGCACTGATAATTACTGGTGATTGGAATGTGAAAGTTGAAAACAAAGAAGATCTGTATTTGGAAAATACTGTCTTGGTGATAGAAACGATGCCAGAGATCGCATGATAGAATTTTGTAAGACCAACGACTTATTCATTGCAAATACCTTTTTTCAGCATCATAAGTGGTGACTATACAGGTGGACCTCGCTGGATGAAATACACAGAAATCAAATCTACTACATCTGTGCAAAGAGATGATGGAGAAGCTCAGTATCATCAGTCAGAACAAGGCCAGGGGCTTACTGCAGAACAGACCATAATTGCTCATATGTAAGTTCAAGTTGAAGCTAAAGAAAATTGAAACAAGTCCATGAGAGCCAAAGTACAACCTTGAGTATATCCCACCTGAATTTAGAGACCATTTCAAGAATAGATTTGATGGGTTGAACATTAATGACCGAAGACCAGATGAGTTGTGGGGGACATCATACATAAAGAAAGCAAAAGGTCATTAAAAAGACAGGAAAGAAAGAAAAGACCAAAATGGATGTCAGAAGAGACTCTGAAACTTTCTCTTGAATATTGAGTAGCTA